AAATGAAAACTGTACCTCCTGTTTCTTAGTGTTCATACTGTATAAAATTTATAATTTCAGTGGAATTTGCCTCATTTGTAACATTGTCTTTACTGCTTTCTACTCCACTTAAAAGCTGAGTTAACTTCTGATAAAGGTTATCTAGGAAGCAAATCTTCTCTCTTTTATCACATCAATGCTTCTTCTCTTATCATACTCCCATGCTTCATGAAACTAGAAGAGGAGATGAGGAGGTTTCTCTTATTTTTAATCGAGCTGACTCCAGTCAGCAGGACATGTATTTCTACACCAGGTACCTGGTTAGATGGCTGCACAGCACTCTCACAGACATAGAGCATATATGGTCCCAGCTACATATGTAAATAAAATACTCATTCCACAGGCAGAAAGACAGCCACCATTTACTAGTTGTTTACTATTTTTTTTCAATTGGTCTATAAGGATAACTAGTTTGCTAACAACTCAAGTGAAAACTAACTCTTCCCCAAAGACACTTGTTAAAGGCAAACCTGTCATAACCATAGATGCATCAAAATTCTCCACATGTAATCTTGTGACACAGCCATTCTTTGTTACCAAAAACTTTGAACATCCCAAAATTCTTATTCTGATAACTGTTTTCCAGTTTACTGCTTTCTCCCTTTCTGTGTTATAGCTGAGAATAGCTGCATTACATTCAGCAGCAATGTCCTTCAGCCTGCTGGGAATTAATCAATTAATCTCTTGTGATTCTTACCATGTGTAGGCACAGTCAGGGCTCAAGCTTGTGACAGACAGGAGCTGAAGTCTCCCCACTAGGAACCACTAGAATTTTTACAGACATTAACCCATCCCCTTATCAAGCATAGCTGTAAGATACTTCTTGTCAGCTGAACACCATTTAAACATTAAATACTGGCTTATTCACCCTTAATCCAGCTCTTAATGAAACATGTTAGAGTAATCAGAGCTACGCTATCAACCTCTCAACCAGTAAAACTTAATATAATGATTTACTAATGAGTTACTATCAAAGTATTACTCCAAGGTTTCTCAAGCTTTTGCCAGTATGCACGTAATACAAAGGAATCCTTATGGCAATGATGTCATTGTGAGAAAATATGGTATTAATCTCCTATTTTGGGCTTTATAAAATTTATCTTCTCATGGCAGACCCTGCCTGACTTTATCCACTAAACAATTAAGTTTCCTACTTGTTATCTGCTACATCTACCTGTTACAGGAACACTGATAGTAACTTGTAATGGCTGCTTACTTCTGCCAGTTGGTATTTTGTGGGTACCACCATTAGACAGACACCTATATATGAGTTCAGTGCTATGTATGCCTGCTGGCATATGACAGGCACCTCCAAAAGACACTAGTGTGCACCACAGGTTTGATTCATAATTTAGCAATGATTTGTTTACAGTGAATACTAAACAGTAAATGAGTTCTGAACTCTGTGCTTCTGTTGAATAAGAACGAACTGCCCTTGAGAAAGCTGAGGGCTGCTGGATTCCTGAGTGTGAGGGGTGCTCTGGTGCAGGGGGAAAAAAGAAAGTAGAGGGGATTTTATCAATGCCTGTTCAGATCCTTCCTCAGGAAATCAAACTAACCCAGTTGTCCAGCACAGATGGCTTTGGATATTCAGTATGAGATTTATGTGACCAGAACACACAAATCCCGGTTCTTCCTAAATTCTAAGTTTGGGTTTTTTTTTCTAAGAACTACTGTGAAAGGATTTACTGTATATATATATATATATAAAAAACTCTTTAAACTTTCATAACACAAACACTGTTAAGTGCTAGCATTTGCCTGCCAATTTCCAGAGCGGGAGTTAGATAATATCAGGGTGGGACAGTTATTATGATCCCGTGAATTCTCATCCAGAACTTTACTCTCAACTTCTGGAGATTCCTGGTGCTCATCACTGGCACATTCATCTTGAGCTTTCACTTCTGGGAGGTCTGTCACTTCATATCTAGTCTGTATTTTCTCATAATTTTTTTATAAGGACAAGGAGAAGCACAATTCATTCAATACATATTATATTAGAAAGAAGGAATAAAGTGAATGACCTTTTCCTGCTCTTTCATTGCTACCCAGGCTACTGTACTACTTAAGCCAGGTTTTTCTTCAGGCTCCATCTTGACTACATTAAAGGTAACATTCACACCCACATCAGTAAAAGCCTTGCAGTAAAGCCTTGAAGAATCATGCTTCAGTTAGAAGAGAGCTTTTTTTCCCCTCCATCTCTCAGGTAGCATTGTTTTACAACAGTTCAATAAAATTATTGGTTTGAAACACAGTTTCTAAGCATTATTGGGGTTTTCGCATTACATTTAATATGTGATTTCAGCGTGTCTCAGAGATACTATGAATTTTTTACATGCTTTAAAAAAGGAAAATCAGAAAACAACAAATGAAACACTCTTTGGAGTTTATGAGCTTCCAACATGAAAAAGACATTTTGCAGGCATTATGGATATACGAGA